TATATATATATATATATATATATATATATATATATATATATATATATTTAATCACAACGACATCTTGAAAGCTTTTAAAAGAAAAACAGTACTTTTATCCTCTGCAGTACAAGATCTGCAGATCAATAACCCCGCTGGGTGAATCTTAAATGCATCGCATTGAGGTGACGCCAAAGGCGAAAGTAAAAGCTGGGGCAGTGGAGGAAGATGGCTAAATCACCATCAAATTATAAACATTTATTATTAACTGACACATGGAATGTACCGAAATGAAAACAAATCAATAGGTGAGCAAGGGACTTTACTATTCAAATTGCAGGGTTGACTAAGGCCAAATCTCTCCAGGTGTGAGAACTAAAAATCAGGGAGACCTTCGCGGGTTCATGATGAGCATGGCTGGGCAGCCCCTGAGGCTGGGGGTCCCAGAGATAAGTTGACCAGCATCTCACTCATGATCAGGCAGCATGGTTATCCAACTTGGCTTCTGGAGTCTAAAGTCCTATAAATCTCTGTTGTGGTCAAATATGCACTGGTCCTTTTCTTTTGCCACAAACCCTAAGAGTCTAAATATAATTATGCATTTGAGTTTTCTCATTCCCACATGTAGGAGACTAGTGGGTAGAAGAAAAAAGGAAAACCATCCTAACAACACCCTGTGAAAAGAAAATCAACATATGAAATGATGTAGCAATTAACAGAAGAGGCAAAGGTCACCAGTAGGAAACTGAATGCTACCTGAGAGACTCTAGTGGCTTCCTCTAGGAACCTTTTCATCTCGTCCTCGGTGAAGACCACATTCATGGCAGACCCACTGGGAAAGAAGGGGGAAAAAAACAGGTCAGATTCTTTACCGCTTCACAAGTAAAGCATCCTAGACTTGATTCCTTATCAGAACAGTTCCAGGCAGCCTCCAGGCTGGTCTAGGCTAAGTAAGCAGGTGCCTTTTTTTTTTTTTTAATTGAGACTGGACTCCATTTAATCAACAGGACAGTCGACCAAAGTAAAGTCACCCAAGTTGGGGATAAGGATGGGGGTGAGACCTGTGATAATGCCTAAATAAAACCATGGTAGCTCTAAAGATGGCATGTCTCCAAGGTTTGTCCTTTCTGATTTACTGTTTTAACTCCCTTCTGGTTCCAGGTAATTCTTAAACCTTAACAGCATTCATCCCAGGGTCTAGTTACTCTAATTGTGATTCTTCAGAGTTCAATACCAAAAGCTGATCTTAATCCACATGTTCCCGGTCAAAGCAAGTCCTTCTACTACTTCAACCAGGTTACAAAAGAATCCATTTTTTAAAGTAACGTTTGCAAATGTAATGTATAGCATCTGACTGAAATGTATTCAACACAGTTGAATACATTTCCTTCTAAATACCTGAGAAAGAATGCTATGTGAAATCAATTTACTCTGAATTTTGATATTTTCAAAGTAGAATAGAAGGGAATGAAAGAAGAAGGAATAAGGAGGGAAAGAAATAAGGAAAAAATATTACTTTTCACTTCCTTTAAAAAGTAGTTTTGTGTTTTTTTTACCTTTTCTACTCTCTTACAAAATTCTGCCTAATAAGCTTTTTCAATTTCTTCATCTATTTAGATAGGGAAGCTAAGGCTATAATTTTGATAATTAACAGTATAGGAACCTAGAACAAAGATATAAAGATGAGAAAGGAAGTGCAATAGTCAAAGCAACTTTCTGAGATCCTCCCTTAAATATCGGTGTATTGTTTAAAGTAACTTACATTAATACCTCGAAGAAGTAGTATGTGTTATTAGACTGTGGTTTATACAAAATGTCATTTAAATAAAAAGGGAAGTTTTCCACCTCATTTGAAATTTTTCACTATTTTAAAGAATTCCATCTCAAATTCCATTTACACTTTCAAATTGTGTACAGCAAATTGTGTTTCTCTTATTATCTCCTGTTCACTGAAGTAGCTCCTTACATGTAGTAACATCTGAAGAGAGTTAGCGATAATTCACAACTTCTCCTTTGATGATAGAACTTAGTTTCAAGGTTTAATATAAAAGATCCTCACTGTTCATCTCCCTCACCATTAACTCATCTATTAAAAAATGTGATCTCAAAAACTCAAAAATTCAAAGCAGAGGCACCATCAGAATGTGCTGACAACAGTCCAAGATAAGCTGTCATTTCTTGGTATTAGAAAACAGATGCTTAGGAGTTTTGGGTTTGTATTTTGTTGTTTTTAACTGTCATCTCCTCTAATGTAAACCTATCCTCCCTCAGTTTGGCCAGGCAATGCCCTGAGCCATGCTTCTAAGATGTAGGACTATAGTGTCTTCCTATTGCCACTTCTAGAAGGAAAAGCATAAAACTGCAGGGCTGTGCATGGTCCTCAATCCAGCTGTGTCGGTTCGGGGATCATTGATGGAGTTACAAATTACTGCACATCAAAACCTAATGCCATTAAATTATAGCATGCAGTTCTGAATTTTTAAATCATTGTGTGGGAAAACAATATATTACCTCAAAACATAGGAAGGTCTCAACAAGCAGGGGAAGCCCACAGACTTCGCAAAGTCCAATGCCTCATTCTAATTAACAGAAACAACAACAAAAGAAGTATGAATAGTGTAAAATAGTCAATAAAAATGCAGAGCCATATCGTTAGAACAAGTGGCAACCCAGCTCTTTTTATTCTTTCTCTTAAAAGACAGCATTAAAATGTAAATTGGACATCGAAATACATAAAATTCCCAGCTTCTAATTCTAAATAGCAAATCTAATTCAAAAATAGTATGAACTTCTTTTCATTGTCTGAATCTTAATGAGAATACTCCTACCAATTTATAACTAACATTTAACCGCAATCATGGAACTACAGCAACTTTAAAGTAAATTCACTAAGCACTGTACATTCTGTCTGCCCTGCAGTTAATACCTGCGGTAGTTAATATTCAGGTTATGACTCTTCGGAAAAGAACATTAAAAACAGACACATGGTTCTCTCCTTACCAAAGTGTTCACTGCTTTCCAGGGTGCCTGAGCCACCTTCAGCTCATCCAAGACGGCGGAGAAGATGGAGCGATCCTCAGCCCTGTCGATCTGCAGAGGGCTTGTGCCCATGATCTTGACACCATTCTTGTACAGAGGGACTGCCAGGTTGTTTGGAATCTGGCCTCCTACCGATATGATGCAACCACCACATGCCTGGAAAAGACATTCATAATATTATCCCGTGGGATACCTTCATGATGAATGAGCAACTATGCTGTTACTGTCTCCATTTCTTCACTGAAAATGCTTAACATGACTATGATATTTTCATTTCTCCTGTCAGTGGATAATAGTAGGTTGTGCCATAAAGAGATAAAGAGACTTAGTTCTGACTTTTCTAGTCACTTACCTGCTAAAATCTACATAAGACCCCATACAGCTACACATGATTACCATGTAAGAATTCCATACAACTACACATGAATATGACATTTGCATGTGTGACAATTGGAAAAAGAAAATCAAGCCAATAAATATTGGGTTGTTGGAAAAGTCATGACGTATTTTTTCTATGTTTTTCGTTGCAAAAATGCATCATGACTTTTCCGACAACCCAATATTTTCATCATATACTCTACCCTAAGGTCAATGAATTCTTGGACTACTGTTGTAATGTCCTAAATGGATACAGATCTGTCTTTCTAACAGTCACCTCTCCTTTTCCCCTCCACCCCAGCACTTCACATTCAGATTAATCATCCCACAAGACTGTTGCAACAAGTTGCTCCCACACTCTGAGTTCTCCAAAGGTTCCTGTCTCCTAAAGGTAAAGTGTAAACTCATTACCATCAAAGCAATTAAGATTTGTCAATCTTATCTCAGCCCCAGGCAGAGGACTCTACTGTCCCCAGCTATGGGCATTCTTTCTTCACCGCCCTTGTTTCCTTTCTCCTTTTCTCCTCTCCTTTATCTAAACTCCAATCATCCCTAAAATCCATTCTAAATCCTACCTCACATTGCACCATCTTCTCTCCTTTACTGCTACCGTGGCACCTGTCTGCGGGACCCAATTACTGACTTCATTTTCTATTTCCTTACTATTTGCTTTACAAGCAGTCCCTGCACCTTCAACTTTAGTCTCCTGTTCACAGTTTCAAGATTAAAAAAGAAAAAACACAAAATCGCAAATTATCTTGACACTGGTGTTCTAGTGTTGAGGGTGAGCCAATGTGGAATGTTGGGAACTGGGTTTGGAGTCGGAAGTCCCTCCCCATCTTGGTTGCCTCTGTGAAACTCCCCCAGAGGCTCAGACTTCCAGTCTGTAAAATTAGGATGATAATGCCTGCCTACTTCACAAAGTCACTATAAACATTAAATAAGATAATAAACATTAAAGGTCTTATACAAATAATAAATAAGACAGATATTATATTTTCTAATATTAATCATAATAGGCCATTGATCTTGGTGTAATTGTTTGCTCTATGTCCTACTAATGAATATTAGAATTGCTGAAGTAATAGATATGTACCCAATGTGTTTTATCATTATTTGAAATCATTCTGAAATAATCTTAAAAGGGGTGAAGCTAATTTCTCTCTGATGAGAGAAATTATAGTACTGCCTAAGCAAACACCTGCAATTGCGTGCTTAAATGCATTGTAAACAGAACAGAATATAATACTCCACAATTCTGCATATTTATAAAGTACTTATGCTACTTTTATCATCACTTTTATATTCAGTATACATTTTTTAAAAAACCTTTAAGAAGAATGATTTTCTTTACTGTAATATTTGTATTTGCTTATTTTTAATTATTGGTATTAATATTTTAGAGGCTTAAAAACTAAGTTCTCAATTAAATGTATATAAAAAGTCTTATGGAAAAGCTTCAAAATAATTTCTAAAATTAAGGGAGAGGTAGCAACCTCTGAGCAAAATTTGGAGTCAAATGGACTAAATAGGAGCTTAAAGTTGAATTAAAAGACTTTAATTAATAAATATACCAATATTTTTCAAAATAGCTCTGTGAAGTTGATTTTCATTTTTCAAAAGATTAATAACTTTCAAAACAAAAATAACATAAACTGCTACTATTTACTAATGATGTTGCTACATACCCTAGACTAATCTGTTTGACCTCTGAGGCTGTTATTACTCTCCCCGTTTTACAGCTAAAGAAACTGAGGTTTGGTGAAGGTGAAATGACCTGGCCATATTTCTTTCTAACAAATACAGAGCCAATACTTGAACTCAAGTCTACATATTATAAAGCAGCTATGCTTAATAAATATACCAAATCTTTGAATCTTAAGTTATTTTTCTGGCCAGTTTCAGAGGTGGTTGATGTTAGAGAATACAAGAAAAGTTATTTCTAAACATTCTTTTTGAAAAGTGCTAGATAGAAAAACTTCCACTGCTAAACCCTACTCTCATCACTGACCTCCAAAAATAAAGGTCATCACTGGGAAGACAAAAGATCCCCACAGGAATAGTTTAGAGAAACAGCATGATGGTATAGTGCATGTTTTACTCATACAGCAAAACGGATTCAGAAGAAGAGAGCATGTTTGTCGGACAAAGTTAATATAGGACAGTTTTGTAGAAGAATTCTATCTTCAAATGACCCCAACTCCAAGCACAGAACTTGTAGGGAGTTAGGGAAGAGAACCTGATATTTCAAACAGGTAAATTATTTTCATCAGAATCACTGAATACCTAAATAATTTCAAGTAATTTACTTGAAGATGTGGTATGTATACACAATGGAATATTACTCTGCCATAAGAAAAGGGGAAATACTGCCATTTGAGACAACATGAATGGACCTTGAGATGATCATGCTAAGAGAAATAAGTCAGACAGAAAAGGCTGAGAACCACATGACTTCACTCATATGTGGGATATAAAACTGAAAGCAACAAAGGAACAAGACAAACAAAGAAATGAAAACTCGTAGACACAGACAACAGTTTAGTGGTTACCAGAGGGTAAGGGCAGAGGAGGAGTGGTAAAAGAGGGAAGAAGGGGTCAAACATATGGTGATGGAAGGAGAACTGATGCTGGGTAGTGAGCACACAATGTGATATATAGATGATGTATTATAGAATTGTACACTTAAAACCTACATAATTTTACTAACTCCCATAAATTTAATTTTAAAAAAGCATTTCACACAAAATTTTAAAAATGAAATGAAATATGTTAAAATTCAGATATTGTTTCACAGATATCTAAAACCTTTAGCCTGAACTAATTCCACCAGACTCCCAATGTTCCATTGATCTTACCCAGATTAGTTTGTATCTTTTTTAACCAGCTCAGTTTTCTGCTTTTTTTTTAGCTGAGCCATCCTGCTACCTGTTGGCAGCTCAGCGGCTGCTCAGCTCGGGCTGGACTCGAACCGCTGTTGCTCAGAGCTCAAACTCTTGAGCGAGCTCTTAACCAACTGAGCCACTCAGCCAGCCCTAGTTTTCTGCTTTTTTAAACCTGGTATCTCTAAGCTAATATAATACCACACAAGAATATTTCTGAAACAATGTTCAAGCTGCAACAATACCACAAATTAAGGAATTAAAAGAAAACGTTTCAAATTTATTTGAGAACATCTTAATTTTTTAGATAGTAATCACTTTGTTCAGTCCTTATTTTTCTGGAAAAATTAATTCTACATTATAGACAGAATGCAACGTAAGAAAATTTGTCTTACTAACAGAAATAGCATTTACTTCACCAAAAAAGTGGCCGAGTTTTGTGATTTCATGTATTATGTCCAATTTATAAAACTCCACTACGTATACATCTGAAGTGAGAATGATCATGCTTTGTATTTTAGTAATTCACATTTTAGTAAAACATATTTTCCAGTTTAGGCAGACCTTAGGATTATAGTTAATTACAATTAAACCAATGATAGGAATGAACTCCAATTCTAGTTTAGAGTCGTGCATCCCCTAAGGGGTTCTGTCTTATTACTAATTAATGTCTGTCACTCATTCCTTCATTTAACTCAAGCTGTGTTACAGAAGGTACCATTGTCTGTATATACATATACTATCAGGTGTTAAATATAGGATAATTAAGTCATTAATCAGAGTACTTTTTATGGGGTATGATCTAGTAAATTACTCATTGTAAAAGCAAAAAAATAATTTTAGCAGGACTCAAACCAGACAGGGGCATCAAAATCTATCAGATATGTTGCCTGGTATTTTTAGACCCAATCTGTTTTTTAATGAATAAATACCAAAAGAATTGAGAAATGAGTCCTACACAGGGCTTGGATACAGAAGAAAATTAATGTTGTTTGTTTATATAACTTTTCGACCATGAGTCTCCAAAGAAAGGGGAAGTGTGAAGTTAAGACAGGATCTGTATGAATCTTTTTCATTGCTGTAGCCTGTAAAGATTATTGCATAATTCATCCCCAAGAAATAGATCTAATAATGGATCTAATAAAAGAAAAGCACAGTGTTGCAACCTCTATAACAATGCAATAATTTTCAACTCATATACCTCTAAATAACTTGAGAACACCTTTTCTCTTATAAGGAGTATGCTAAGTGAAATTGTAAACTAAGCAAAATACCATCTGTCAAATCCTTATACATGGCAGACACCAACTTTTCACTTTCCTGACCCTTCCCCACACCCACACCCACCCCACCCCACCCCCAAAAAAGTCAAAATGTAAATATTTTCTCAAGAAGCAGAACCCATGTACACAATCACAGGGGGTAAATGACAACTTTAAAGGGTTGCTCTTTATAAAGTATATTTTAAAAGTCTGCAGCCAAAGGAATATAACATTATAACATTTTCTATTAAAGTGAATATATATATATTCATGGGATGTGGAGTATAGTGTGGGAGTGGAGTCAAGTGAATTGTAATAGATATGTATGATATAGGGGTGAAGTGGGGCAGCGGGTTGTGGGAGGGGGTTGTCACTTGAGGGGTAAAAAGTATAACTATTGCACTGTGTTGTACAGCTGAAAGTAATTCTAAAAAATGTATATTTCATAATAAAAAATAATTAAAAGAAAAAAAATATATATATGAACAAGTAGGAAGGAGATTTCAGCACACCTCGCATCCCTTCTCACTAAACCTTTGATCAAGACTCCCCTTCATGTCGCCTTGTTTTGCTTCCCCTTAATGTTTTCTCTAGAGGTGCTTTCTTGATGCCATGGAAACAGCTTTGGTCCTAGACCAGGAAACCTGGACCAGGAGACACATCATACTTTCCATCATCCAAGGTAGTTATGTATCCTTGGGACAGCCCATCGCCCTTCTAGGTGACTCAAATGTAGGCTTTTCAATAAGTTTACACGTGCTTCCAATTTTCTGCAAATTTACTACTGAATGCCTCGGTGCCTTCAGCATCACTAGAGGCATCCAAGGTCAGAAAAGGGTAGTTTCCTGAAGGTCAAGACACCCATTATGAGAGACAATGAAGCCTGTAAAGCCTGCTATGAGGAGATACACAAAAACCCATGAAAGGAAACAAACACACACATACATATACATATGTGTATGACTTGTGTATGTGATCTATATAACACTTCCTGTGGGATAGCTTAAATAACACATCGATGAAATCTTGCTCTTATGTTCTCTAACATAACATTTACAATTACCTTATAATATATAGTAGCACTATAATTGCCAATTAGCTTCAAAGAAAGGCCCATTTATTTGTTTCTATCATACTGAATTCTGTTATTGTAAAAGGGTCTCATTAATATCCATGTGTAACTATATCCAAAGGCCGTTGTAGACATTTTTAATCTTTCCTTAAACCATTTCATGGGGAAATAATTAATTACGTGTAAAATGCCTGCTGCTATTGCCTGCAATTCTTGTTAATATTTTTTAAACAGTTGTGTAATTTTTCACATATTTATGTCATGACTCCCAGTTTTATTTTAATGCCTTGAAGGTAGGGACCTGGTTTTATAGCTCTCTATCCCGCTGCACCTGGCATTTAAAAGCTGCTCAAGAAATATTTGTAAAATGCACTTATTTTGATCCCTATGTAAATGAAATGAATATTAAGGAATCATTAGAAATAACAATGACAGAGAAAAAAACTAAGAATTGTGCATATTTTACCTAATGGTTCAATTTTGTTATACTAAAAGATTAGTAGGCCAGGTCTAAAAAGTCAACTCAGATGATACATCCATCCTAAATTTGTCTGTTTTTCTTTACAACAATAAAAGCATCACATTGTTCTAGCACTATACTTTACAATGTGATTTCAACCACAAATCTCATTTTACCTTCACAGTACCTGCATGTAGTACATCTTATATGATTCATTAATAAGGAACGATGAAGCACAGAGAATTTAAGTAAGGAGTTCTCAAGTTAAAACTAAAATTGAAATATTATACCCCCAATTCAGTATTCTTTTTCCTAAGTAACTGTACTTTACACATTAGGATGATTTTCTGGAGTCAAAAACTAACTGGAATGACATCAAAAGGCACAACTACTGAACATCACTTTGAAATTTTCCAGAAGTTAATTTTTGAGTGGTAAGGTAATGTAACTTGTTCTATAGACATCCAGTAAACTATGGTCATCTCAATCCAATGTGAAGATACCCTCAATGACAACGGACTGGAGGTGGAAGAGCAACTGTGAGAGAATGCAACAAAGGTGCCCAAATTATCAGAATGGTCTCCTCGATCTTAAATTAAAGACCAATGGCTTCATCAGATAGCACAAAGACTTAACCAGTCCTTTGTGAATTACTGACTTCCCTCCTCTAGGACCCGTTCATCATTAAACCACAACAGCATGTGAACTAGAGAGGAGCTGCTTCTTATATGTCGAGAAGACCAATTGAATCATTCTGCAAAGTATTTATTGGGGTTGTCTTGTACTAGTTAATATGTGTCTGGCACATGTTACCAAGGAGAGTTTTTAGTATAGCTGGAATGCTTAGAAAGAGAAAGTGAATTTTATGTGAAAAACAATCACTCTGTGTCAGGGCCTCAAGTATCTAAGGTTGGAACAATTTTTTTCTTAGAGTTTCACTATAAAATTAGAGACCAGAAGACACTGGCAAGTTCGTTCTCCTGAGGGGAATTACGATATAAATCTACATACATGACTGCACATCTAAAAAGTGTGCACTCCATATATTTTTCTTTCCTTTTTCTTTTTTTACCTCCTGATGGTAGATATCTAGGATTCTCTCCAAAGACAGCTCTTCAAAGTACAGTTTGTCACACTCATCAAAGTCTGTGCTCACAGTCTCAGGGTTGCAATTCACCACCACTGTCTTCTTGCCAAGTTGACGCAGTGTGCGGATACTGGAGACAGCACACCAATCAAATTCCACACTGCTGCCTGCAGAGACAATGAGATTGGGGAAAGGGGTAAGAGAAGCAGAAACATGAAGTGACAACACAAAGGGAAGCAGAGATATACGGCCAGTCAGCTCAAGCTAAGGAAGCTAATGCCCTTTTAATTCAATTTTTAAAACTCCAAAATATACATTTCAGGTCCATTATGTACACTATATTCGTAGTGGGGAAAAACAGGGACTGATTAAACAACAATGCCATGTTGGCTTGTTTTATGTGCTAAGTTCTGCAACAGGTAATATCCCTATTTGAAGCATTCAGAACCTCACAGTTAATGGGAGATAATTGTAATGATAAAAAAAAAATAGCCCTCATCAACTGAGAAGAAATTCAAAGTGAATATGTTGACCTGAGTACACAAAAGTAGTTAAGTTAACAATCCAAACACTTGCATTCCTATCTCAATTCTTCCACTTCCCGTTCTCTCTGAAGGCTAAACCCAATGATCCCTGAGGTCCCTTGTAACTCTCACATATCTTGATTGATTGAAAAGGCCTATCCTTTCCAAGCATATCCTTTTAAGCTTGGCAAGGCCACTCCATGCAGAGTGAATGACCTTCTAGAAGTAATTTGAAGTATAATAATGGCCTAAATGTCTCAAAATATCACCTCTACTGGGATGCCTTAGAACTGAAAGTTAGGGGATTTGTACTAATCCTTTGTGTTAGGACTTTGTCTCCTAAAAACTGTTGTCAGAATAAGAAGTTATCCAAATTTAGCAGCATGGTAATTCTTACTATGAATTAAGTATAGACATGATTGTCATCTCAGCTAATCTTCTCTAGGCCCCAAAGTAATGCAGTATTGTTGAATAAATTAGGTAAAATTTGAAAAGGAAGGAGAAAAGATCTAGAAAAGAAAAGGGTAGGTTCCTGGTGAACGTGTTCAGGCCAGTTAGCCATAAGAAACTAAGGTGATAAACATATAACCACTTTTATCCTTCTTCAAGATTTGGCCAAAAAATTGGTAAACTAGCATATCCTGAAGCACTTAGTTAATTGTAAAAGCCAAAATAAACTATGCTTAAAGTAACAAGACATACATTTAAATCATATATTTCATCATTTCCATTTTAGAATACCTTACAGATACTAAATGTTAAATACATTTATTGGGAAATATCAATGTCTAAATATATACTTTATAACTATAATATCTTCAGTTATTATAAAATATCTAATTTTAAGTGACTTAGAAGGATATATAACAATTTCTGGTGAGAATGTTTTAATTAAATCATATAACACTCTATGAGAAAAGTTCTTTGCATTTGATGTCAACAAAAATCATACGTTAGGTCAGAGACTGCATCTACATATGTAATTCTGGCCAATGTATAAATTTCTTGAGCAAATATCCATCTTTGTGAAATACTATGCTAGAAGAGAAAAAGTCAAAGAATGTAATTCAGTCCTCAATCCCAGTGAGAAGCTCAATTTAGTTCATGAAGATGAAAACGATAAAGGGAAGAAATGATGAAATGCAAGGAGATAGAATTTGTAGTTGAGACTGCATTTGAGTCCCACTTCTACCACTTAATAGCTGTATAAGTTTGGGCTTCATTTCTCTGAACCTGTTTCCTGGTTTGAAAATATTTATTATGACAGCATCTATTTTACATAGTTTTTAGAATAATGAGATTAACATGTGTGAAAAGTACTGTATAAACTGTAAAGTCTTATGTAAATATAACTTATCACTTTACCAATGTGATATGGACCGCAACCCAGCACCATCATTCCATGGTCATCAAAATTGATATCATGCTCCTAAGGGGGGAAAAAATAGAAGATGTGAAAACTGTGTTATTCCTCTGTCAGATTAAATTATGTGTCCTATCTTTGAGTGTGCTTTTCTCATTCTTCTTGTTAACATGCATCTTCTGTTAGTCTCTGGGAATCGATAAGTATAAAGTATTATATAAGCTCTATGTATTTGTAAAAGAATTAGTTCAATATTTTTTTATGAAACACTCATTAGAACATGGCATAATTGTATGGTTCATGTAACCATTGTTCGTATCTTTTGAACTTGTTTGATTTTATCACCTTAAGGCAGTTCTTAAAAGATAAGGACAGAAAGACATCATCACATTTGACCCACATGATGTCACTTTTATTACCAAGACCACTAGATAACCAAAGACAACACATATGTGTGTGTGTGTGTATGTGTGTGTGTGTGTGTGTATATATATATATATATATATCCCCATGTAGAGTATTTACAAAATCTAGAACTTTCTGATATGGCAGTTTGGAAATTCCTACCTGACCATTGTAGGTGACATAGAGGTAATTTGTAACTGATGGGTATTCTGCAGCCAGGGTATCAATCTGCAAGAGAAATAAATAAATAAATAAATAAACAAATAAATAAAGATTTTTTTAACTCCCTTTGTTACTTTTTCTTCAAGAATTTCTTTTCAAAAATTCGTAAATTTTTCTCTTGTTTTGGTGCTGCATTCCTATTCCTTTCATGCCCATCACTGTCAAAAATAAAGACAAGTAAAAGGTATGTGCAATCCAATTGCCTTCTAATTCTGAAAGCGAGAGGGATAAAACCAATGACACAACCTAGTTATCACTTGAGCAAGAAATGATGATACACATTCCAGAACATCATTGTATAATATGGTAGCAACTCTTGTGAACACAACAAAGTGATCATATAGACAACTGGTTACCAAGTCTTACTCAGCCAGCTGTCTAAAACAGCTGCAAATAAAACCTAAATTAGAGCAAAATGACCTATATGTAAGGATGCCTTTGATTTGCAAATTAATGCATAAGATTTAAGTTACCTACAGCAATGAGCAATTAGATGACGCAAGCTTCATAAAGCATAAGGGGCCAGGGGAAGGAGACAGGATCTCATCGAATGGAAAGTGTAAATCAATTCAGCTCTCAAAGGCCAGAAGCTCAGCTTAGAGAGCAAGAATTTGGGGGCCAACAGGGCAAGCTGGAGTAAAGCAGGTGAGAAGGAAGAAAGGTAATAATTGCTGAGTAGAAAATATTCAGCATCAAGCCTCAGTCCTAAGGGTATGGATGTGTCCCCTGAGCACACAAGGAAAAGTCAATGATTTTAAAGGACAAAAACCAGCTGTGGTACTTTAAGCCAAGCTATCTCTTATACTAAAAGCCAAAAAAAATCACAATAGTACACCTATGGAAAGTTCTTGTGTGATTGTCATGAATACTAGATGAGCTCATTATGCCCAACCCTATCACAATGAATACTAAATGAACCATAATGATGGGGCACTTAAGATAAAGTATTACCTTGTAAAAAGTTAGTGCCAAAGAGATAACTATTCTTTTCGAGGGCATCGGCCACCATGCTAGGATATTTCACATCCTTCTACTGCACTAAGGAGTTCCCTTTTTACAGATGTATTTGTATAGGATCAAAAAGTAAAGGAGAAGTCATTTTGATTTTGTTTTCATTTAGGCCAAGATATTCATTTACTCACTCTTACCTTCACATCCCAGTGCCCCTTCATCCTTTTCAAGCATAAATAAAGGCTGTGCTGAACAAAATTGGTGACATCATGGGCACAGACTAGACAAGCACAGTCACTTTTAAATCCCACCTATCTTTTTATTGACAATGACTATGAGTTGGTGCCTACCTTTCACTTGAGGAATCTTGAGAAGAGAGGGAAACTACTTTACCTGTTTAACCCAAGGATGGATGTTTTTCTTTAACCTCAGTTCCCTTGTCTGAGCCTCAGTCAGTCTGAGGCATTTTGAAATATGCTTGTCTGAGAACCCAATTTCCTTTGCCTTTCTCAGGGTTTCTTCTGGAATGGAGTCACTGGGATAGAATAAAAGAGAGAGATTCAAGTTTAAACCAAACACAATAAAAAGCAGTGAATTATTCAATTTCAAAAACACCAAAGCTTCCTTATTGCCAATCTTCGACATGTTTAGATCTCTTATCATTCAAAAATACACAAGTAACCTACTAAATCTTGTAGCCTCTACGAAATCTACTATTTGCAATGCTGATCTCAAACATGTGGATTCCTACTTTGCACCTTCTTCTCATTTCCTGAAAAATGGCTTCTGCATTTACTGTTCAACTGAATTTCTTCTTTCAAAAATAGAGAAGCCCTTTCTCAGTTTCCATCTCCCTAACTTGTTTGATGTTCTGTTCTTTATAGATATCTTCCCTTGGCTTCTGGTAAGGTGCCTCCCCTTTATTACATGCAACCACAATTTATTGTTTTGATTTGTTTTTTCCCCAAGGCTCTAATCTGTTACGTGTTCTAGTGTGGCTACTTTCTCTCCCTCTCTAAATTTAGTCACTGTCATCAGCTCAAGTAGCATTAGTAGTCAACACTGGCCAAATCGGTAGCTCCGTCTCCCATGTCTGACCTGTGCTCGAGGTCTTTATGTATGTGAACTTTGAGAATCATCTTCACTTGTGCATCCCAACATTGCATTAGACTGGGTATGTGCTCTATAAATTGCCTCTAGCTATTAATATTACATATCTATCTGTGTTGAGAAGATAGCTTTGTGGTTTGGTGATTATTTTCCACTCAAACCAGATACATCTCTTTACTCTCACCACTCTCATTCCATAGTGTAGACCAGGGGTGTCAAACTCAATTAAAACACGGGCCATTTGNTGAGGATTCAGGAATATGGATAGGATAATTAAAACACTATATAATTGCTTTTATTTAAACATTTATTTTATTTAATGTATTTATAAAACTAAAATTATTCTTTATTACCTGAGTGCTCTTTTTAACCTTTTTGCTATTAGGATCTGTTTACATTATGTGACACTGAGAGTGGCAGACATATCGCTTCCAAACATCGCCGTAACTGAGTCAGCGCGTTTATACACACCCACAGGCCCCCAGGAAAGGCACTGGGCCACGTGTATACTCGTCTTCAGTAGTTAAAGTGTTAACGAGGGAATTGCGTATACGGTATTGCCTCAATCTCCCCTAAGTGCTATTTTCTTCATAACAATTTTTTCTCTTTTCATTTTATTTCAGAGCATCGTGGGCCACAAAAAATTACCTCGAGGGCCGCCAGTTTGACACCCCTGGTGTAGACTGTATTCATGTTGTTTCTCTCACCTGCAAAACCTTTGACATTCTTGTTATGTACCCAACTTCTCTCCAACTCCCAGCCACCCTTCTTAGGTCAGTGAAAGCCAAGATTCATCTAGAAGGCTTCTCAGTCCGTCCTCACCCAAAGTGATCTTCCTCTTAACTGACACTTACATTTGGGGCATGGTAGGAAATGTGCTGTTGGATATGTCAACATCACATGGTATTTTTCATGTTTTTTTAGCTTTTATTCACCAACCAGACTTTTTTTTTTCCTGCTAGAATCAAGTTCCACAAGAACAAAAAAATACATTTGGCTCATTTACCAGATTATTTCCAATGCCTAGCACATTGTCTGGCATTCAATAAATATTTATTAAATAAATGAAGGAAAATGCTTCTATAGCTTCTTATAGAAAAGACAACAAAGCTATTGACATCAACTTGGAACTAGAATTCAAAATGCACACAAAAATAATTTGAAAAGGCCTACAGTTCAGAAAAATAAATTACTACTGTAAAGGCATCTTTAACCAAATAGCTGTGGGCTACCTATTTCAAACAATAGTCAATACAATAAAATTCAATTATGACAGTCTGATAGTCAATTCAATGAAATTAAAATATAACTGTGCTGTCAGAAGATCTATAATAAATAAAAGATTTGATTGAAATTCTGCTATTAAAATGCAGTTGAATGAAATCTATTGCATTTTGTTCATTCTATTCTTCAGTCTTCTTATTTAATTAATTCATATTCTGAGTTTAGAGAAGAGAGAATCAAACTGGTAATAGCTATTTCTCTGGCTTTTTGATATCAGTATTAGTTTGAAATTTTGCAGTTACAGCCCATCCTAGTCAATATGCTTTTTCTATAGCACCAAATTCCCCTCTGTCTCTTAAATCAATTTGTTATTTCTCCCATTGGATTTAATTTCTTCTTTATCTATTCCTATTTTGATTTTTTAATCTTACCAAGTATTTGATAAGCATTCTCCCAGAGCAACACATTTTCCTGTCAAATTCTTGAAGACAATAGGATTATTGCTTTATTAGTTACTTACTATGTGAGTCAAGCATTGTGCTACATGCTCTAGAACTCTGTTGTCCAATATGGTAGCCACTAGCCACATGTGCCTATTTAAATGTAAATGTCAATTAATTAAAATTTTTTTAAATTAAAAATTTAGATCCATAGTTAACGCTAGCCACATTTCAAGTGCTCAATAGCCACATATGGCCAGTGGCTACTGCACTGGACAGTGCTGATTATAGAATATTATAACATCACAGAAATTTCTACTAGATAGTGCTACTCAAGAAGATACAAAACAATATTTGAGACAATGGAATGATAGAGAATGATTCAACACATTTTATAGAGAGATAAGCGATGTGGTACAATGTGAGGTCAGAGAAAAGAGATAACAATGTGAGTGGTTGTAGCTGAGAAATACTATGGCAGTAGAGGGATGAGAATAGAACTATAAAGAAAATTCAGCTTTATATGGATCAAGGAGTTGACAGATGTACGATAGGCAAGGGCAACTGCATTTGCAATAATTTGAGGCAGCAATGGGCATGGAGAGTACAGGAAACATACTGAGGATTTATAGTTGGAAAGAGCAGGAAATTGTGGATGGTAAAGATGGGGCTACATTCCTTGTCATTCTTTCATTAGTGCTCTAACGCCATGAACATGTGCTGTGTATCAGGCTGTGCACAACCTATTTTAATGATGGAGAGATACGATATAAAATCTCTATGTTCAAGGAGGTCAGCGTATATTAGAAGGTAAACAAGTAGCCATAGATGTGTCTACTCTGTGACAGGTGCTATGCAAGAAAGGTATACATTTCTGTGTGCCCAGCTTCTGCTGGAGAAGTTTGGAAAAGCTTTACCCAAGAGGAGCTTCTTCAGGTCTTTAAAACACCCAAGTTTATAGCTCTTATCTTTAGCTTTGGAAAAAAAAATAATCTGAGACAAAAGCAGAGGAAAAATTTGTTGTTGCTATTTGTTTTAATAATGTCTGTTTCCACTTTCCTTGCCAATACTATGTTCCTAAACCAATTGCCCATTTGCTTATGTGCAAGTGTGCATTCAGCCTCAGAGAAGTGCTTGACAAATAAGCTATTTCTCTAAATTAGAACATTGAGTGATGTTCTTTTTAAATAAATATCTTTAACTGTGAGTTTCATGAGCAATCTCAAGTCATATTAATGTTTACCTGCATGGGGAAAAGCTATACATTTTCTCTGTGATCTGCAATTATATTAAAAACATAAGCATGAAAGTTGAGTTAGGTAGAGAAATACTATACCTATAACATTGGGCTAATTCTTACGTATAGATTTTTCTAGCTACCTACTAGAACATTTTCGCATTACGTGGAACAGAAGTAAAAGAAAAGACAAACAAAGAATAAATAGATCTTCAATGAGACATTTCTTTATTATTGCAAATACTATCTGAAGCAAAACCCATATTATGTTACTATATTGACAGCCACACTAACCTAAATGATTGAACCCTACCCTGAAACACAGTGGGCCAGACACACTTAAGAAACATGCCTTGAAAAGAACTATCACGTTTATAATTTTGACTATGGACTAGCATAAATGTAAGTTCTTTAAGTGCATAAGTAACCAGAAGTAATATATTTATCTTTAGCTCTTTGGGTCTCTCTCTCTCTCTCTCTCTCTCTCTCTCTCTCTCTCTCTCTCTNTCTCTCTCTCTCTCTTCTTAAATGAATTATTTTTATTTCTTCTTACATGGAATATCAATCAGTCCTTCAAAAGTTCTATATTGCTTTGAATTAAAATTTTAAATAATGGTATGAAACAAACAAACAAGAAGCCATTTAGATTCCTCACATTTCTATTAGGGATGCAATAAATTTGCATTTGTTTTGTCCCCATTCAGCAACGCAGTCTTTTCTGTTGCTGAAATATGCATAATTCCTCTTATTCTTTTCCACCAAAAAAAGTTCAATAGAGCATACAAAGACATTTCCAGCAAATATACAAAGTCTTCCTCCTCCACCCACCAAATAAAATTGGATTCTTACCAACAAACAATTTTTTAAAAAAAGAAAGGAAAAGAAAGACTGATTAAAAAAAAACTGGCCTTATGCATAAAAAAGTAAAGTGAATTAATTTTGTGCTCAGCTCTGGTGACCAAAAATAGCTACCTGTCATAGAACTAATACAGTCATTCCTGCACCTCATAGCATATCCATTCAAAACTTTTCATTATTTAAAGGGGACGCCTGAGAAGAGGGACAGTAGTACAAAATCATGAATCATGAATGATAGAATTTTAGAATGGGGTTGAAAACTATTTCTTCATAGGTGCCCCCCTTCATACCATACCAGGGGAGGATTCTGAAATGGATGCATCAAGCTAGATGTGCAGAGTGCATGTTTTAAGCTCACAAGCTGTTAGGATATTTTCTTGGTGAGCCAAAAACTGCTTTACCTTTCACCCAATATTCAAATAATTAGATCAATAGCACTATATGATATTTTTAAACATCATGAAAATTAGGATGTATTAAATTGGAATGGCATATGAATATATTCATGTTCACCTATTTTAACTTGAATGCCAATATTGGGTAGGTATGGTCATGTGAAGTTCAAAGTGGTGTATCTTCCATGGCATTTTATTTATGATCTCTCTGGTTATTAATATCTAGTATTTAGACATGTTGATGAAATAATGCAAAGCACTTTGCAATCCT